GGCCATCTGGAAACGCTCATGGACAGCAGCGAGAGACCCCAGTGGAGACAAAGCCCAGGATTTCGGCAGGGCCCAGGCTCTGTGCCGGACGCTCCCACTCTGCCCTGCGAGCGGGGGGGGCTCATCTCCAGCCACCCACGGATCCAAGACCCCAGGGAGGGCAGGGATGCACCTGCTGCAAGGGACAGGGCTTTTGGTGGCCCTGGGGAGCACGAGTCCTGCTCAGCCTGGCCCCAGCAGGCACCAGGCAACCCTGCCAGCATCCACCCCCACCAGGCAGCTCCCAGCTTCCCAAAAATAGAAGCCCGACCTGGAAAAGACCCCGGGAGCTCAGCGTCCTCCAGGCCCTGCCCATGCTGGGGTGGCGCTGGCCATGGCAGGATGGGCTCCGTGTGCCACTGGAGTGTGGGTGACAGGGGTGACCGGGGCTGGCAGAGGCTTTCTGTACACTCGGAACCGTCACAGCAGAAACCATGATCCCTTGTCCCCTGCACGCCAGCGCACAATCCCCAGTCGCCGCCGAGGAGAGGACCCGGAAAGCAGAGAGGAAGCCGGGCTTGGTGCGGAGGAAGAACTGGGGCTGGGGTATGCCGAGCAGCGACCGACCGGCCTCAAGGCCGGAGGAAACGCTGCTGGGGACGGAGGGAAGAGCCACGGGGCCACGGGAGGGGCTGAACCTGCTGCCTGTGCACACTGAGGCAGGATTGAAGTTCCAGGTGCTGCCTGGGCAGAGGTTGGCACCAGCACAGCCCGGCTGAGGGTGGGATGCTCAGCACACGTGTGTGTTACTCGTGCCGGTCACCATCCTGCACACTCACCCTGCTGCCGCCAACCACGCTCCCCGTGGTGCCAGACCCTTTGTCTTACAGGGATAATCGTTTCTGGGGCTACAACGCTCGAGGTGACAGTGGAGCGGACGGTCTGCTTCAGCACAACTCATCATCCACCATCCTCCCTCCTCTCGCATCCCCGAGGCTTTCCCCATCGCGTCCCAGGGAAGCTCGCAGATGCTCCCTCATCCACATAAAGCTGTGTTTGGGTGGTCCCGTTTTGCAGGCTGCCGGGGGAAGCTGGCACCCCTCTCCCGCAGGCGCCAGCGGGATGGGAAGATGGGCTCTCCCTGCGTGCAGAAGTGGCCAAAGTCCCCAGCACGGTTGCTTGTTTTTCCTGGGCAGTGGCCAATGGCAAAACTCAATGTAAGTGTTTCCCTCGCCTCCAGCGCTGCCTGCCCCGCGCTCCACAGCAGCTGCAGGGGATTAACGTTGTCCTGGAGGTGACAACGTTTGGCCCAAGACATCCAGGGAGATGCGGAATGGGAGGCAGAGGGCACGGAGCGGTGTTGGCCCCACATTTTTTTTGATTTCTGCATATGACCTCTGTGATCAGAGCTCTGTGCTTTGTGTCAGGATCCACTTAATAGGAAGGAGACGGAGGGCAAGGGGAAGGCCACAGGCAGGGACAGAAGCCCGTACCGGTATCCTGCCACTCCGCTGGGCTGGGGTCTCATCTGGATGGCTTCTGCCCCCCCAGCAGAGCAAACAGACAGCAAGCTTTCCAGGAAAAACCCGCTGCCTGCTTCCCCCGCCGCCACCTGCTCAGGCAGAGCCTCTGGAGCCGAGGGACGGCCCAGACTTGGCTCACAGCGACTGCCAGCTGCTCCAGCTTGGTCCGAGCATGCCCACTCCCTGGCCCAACTTGGGGTGGGGGGGCACTCTCCCATCCCTTGTTCCGAGGTGCTGCAGCCCATGCACTCGCTGTACTTCAGGGGCCAAGGTTTCACAGGGAAGCTTCCCCTTTGATGGCAAAAGCAGACTTCTGGCACTTAGGTCCTGATCAAAGTGCCCAAGTGCAGGACCCTGCCACAGCCAGTGGGAGCAGAAGGGGAAAAGCTGGTGGAGACAAGGAAATCTCCTCTTTGGGCAGGCCCTGCGCTGCCCCGGGCTGAAGCCAGGGCTCCCCGCGAAGAGATTCCTTTCTCTCCCACTAGACAGT